AAGCAAACCAGATTTAGCTCCTTCTTCACATTCCTGCCTGCAATTTCATAACGAGAAAGGGAGGATCCGTGATAGTGCCTTGTGAAACAGGGCACTAGCTCAAGGCAGTAACTCCCTGTCACAGACTTCTTTAATTATTCATGAAATATTCTCTCTCCTCTTTCAGTACCTACTTGAGAACTCAAACATACCTAAGAAAGAAGGGAAAAAGTAAGTCCTTACTGATATATACAAAGCTACAGAAATATTACTATTTAACTTTGTATTCAAATGATACTTCAAAAAAACAAAAGGTTAGAAAAGGCCAAAGTTCTTTTAGATATTTGGCACTTATCTAGTAACTTTGTATTATATCCAGGAAATAACAGATATGCACAAAATATACCAAAAAATTAAATTAATTAAAAAAGATATTTAGTGGATAGACAGCTCTACCTTACACAGGAATGCTAAGAAGCTCTATCCCTTGGAAGAGAGGACTGAAAGTTTTCAAAATTGTTCAACAAGATGAAGTAAAAACACAGATAAACGAAAAGCAAATGGCTCATCTGTGATACTGTGTAGCAGGTGGGAAAAAACCCACTGGACTGAAAATAAAAACTTTTGAGTTCTGTGTTCTACCTCAGGACATGAATTTTATTTTCTCTGTATGTTTAAAATAGTTATTAAAACGAGGGTTAAAGTCCATTCCTAACCTGCTATTCAACCTTATCTCTAAGAGAACTAAAACCTAGAATTCTAAGATAGCTGTCTCTAGATAAAAGTCACCCACAATACAGGATAGATGGCATTTTGGCTACTTCAGCTTCTCCCTTCCTCTACAAATAATACCTCCTTCATGTACTTAGTAAAGGCACACATTTAGTTGAACGGTGAAATGCAAAGCCTCTCTACTCCGGAGCCACCTCCAATTTTCATTTGATTAACACAATAAGTTCTGTGTTGGGTTGTTTTTTATTTATTTTTTTTGGGGGGGGGATGCCAAATCTATTTTATTTTTAAAATAAAAACTGTATATTTTTAAGGTGTATATCATGAAGACTTGTTAAGTTTGAAGTTTACTAAGTATATCTGCACAGCACGCACAGCTCCCTCAAAAGTCGTTCCAGCTATTTTACCTTAAGAGGGCTTAAATAATGTGAGATGCTTTTAAACTGAGCCACTGAGTAGATAGGTCTTAACACATAACCTTTAAAATCTATTCTTAATCCTGCCTTCAGCGAGGCAGGTCTAGACACTAAACCAGTTTTCAGACAGCCTTTTCAGTTTGCTCTTCAGTACAACAGCTTTTCTTCTGTTACTCCACCCAATCACTCTGCTCCTCCCTGCTCTAATGTGTAAGAAAGATAATTCTGAGTCTCCTCCCCTGAACCACTACCTTAACGCCATAGCATTTTTTAAAATACTGCTTTTTCCAGGCTGATGGCACCTCTTTGGTCGCGTTTCTCGTTAAAGAGTGGTTGGTGTCCACGAGAACCCCTCTTTTCATTACAGCTCAGAACACACGTTAGTTTACTTTTCGCAACGTAAACTTCAGAGTCCCTGAGACTTGCCCAGCACTCCCTGTCCACTCGGCGCCCCAGCCACTGAGCCAAGAATCCCAGGATAATGGCCTCGCACGAACCTCCGAGGATATTGGGGTCCCAAGGGGTGTCTGTCCGCGCTGAGCCATACAGTCACTGGGACCCTCGCTACTCGGCGCCCAGGTTCCCCTCGACCCTAATGTTCGCGCACTGCTACCTTCGGTGCCAAGGGCAAGGTAGGTGCTGCATCAATGATGATCCCACTTACCCCTCGGCGACACCCACTCTTGGGGCCGCTTCCTTCTTGTTCACTCCAGGGCTTGGCCCGGTCTCACCCTACTTCCCTCAGACTCAGACGTTTCCTCCAAAGCCCCCTCGGCGGAGTCCCTGCCTTTCCGAAGCCCCCGCGCACTCACCCACTGTCCCATTCCTCACCGATCTCTTTCTCGTTGACCCTCGGGGAAAAGCTGGCCATCTATGGGGTACCGTCTGATTCCGGGGGCGAGATGCGGACGCAACCACAGAGAAAGGAGCGGCGAGCGCCGAGGGGCGTGACGCGAGCTCGTTCCCTCCCGGTCCCGGGGACGAAGGGGAGGGGCGGGGGTGGTCGCGGCGGCCTCTGCCAACTGCCCCAGGAAAGCTCCGGAAGGCCTCGGACCTAACTACGGAGTCAAACACAGACAATAGACTCTGGTCTTTCCTACGGACCGAGACGCCTTAACCAGCGTTGTCGACTGCAAACGAGACTCTGGAGACAAAATGGCGGACGCCGTCGATAATATCAGGGCGGCGAGGGCGGGGCCTCGTGACGTCACCGCCATAGGCTCCGCCTTCCGACGCTCGGGACGTGAGGGCCAGGGCTCGGCGCCCCGCGACGTGTGGGCCAGGGCTCGGCGCCCCGCCCACCCGCCGGGGCCTTGCGGGTCTTCTCCCGAGGGATCACACCCGCGAGAGCAGGAACAGCTGGGAGGCGGGGACAGAGGGGAAGCTGCAGCTCCAGCCTAGCCAAGGCCGGGCCGCTGAGCAGGAACGTACTGACTGTGGGTTTAACTCGGTTTTGTTTTCCCGGGCTGGGCCCCCAGCTTGGTATTTATAAGTCGAAGTGCCTTGAAAAGACAAACCGAGAATTGTATAATACATATTAGCCCACAGCTCAAAGATTACATATAATTTAAACTACCTGAACTGAAAAGAACAAAAAAGATATTTCAGATTTTAACTCTATTTGGCTACTTCCCCAGCCCTCATGTGCTGGAGAACTAGAGGTTGCACTGATGAAAAAACAAGCGATGAACACCACTATGCACCACGTATCAGGCCGCAATCGTTCTGACATGAGCCAGCTGGTTCTAGGAAGGACCGGGTGAAAAGGCGTGAGGAACAGAGAAACCCAGGCACAATGGCATCCCACCCCACCACAGGACATCCCAGGGCTGTCTTTGACCTGGCGAATCTCCGCAGCTTCGCCTGCCTCCTGGCTGCAGTAAGGCTGGTGGTCCGCGGTGCCCTGACCTCTGGCCAAGGCTGACCCCACCTTGTGAGCTCAAAAACCGCCCTTCCTGCTCCCGAGGTCTAGGTCTCCAGAAGGCAGCTACTCACACAACGAGGCTGATAAATGTGTCAGTGTCTGCCAGAAGCCAAGTTAGTGCTCTTTTACAGGTGACATATTTGCATTTTAATGAGCCCCTTTGAGGACTCTAAACCTTGATCCAAGGTTTAAAACGATATCTAAAGCTGGGAATTTGAAATACGTGGCAGATTCGGACGGAAGAGGAGCTGTGTAGCCAAACTCTCGAGAGATATCAAATCGCAACACGTAGGGTGTCTACTTCATTTTTTTCTTTGCTTGAGTGATAATTCTTCCAACAATGAAATATTTTATAGCAGAAATAAGAACTCACTCCTCTCTTTTTAAAAATCACTTTGTTACATCTAGGCAACATATTTTATGATGGCTTGCTCTATACCAAGCACTGGGGCTAGTTATTAAACATTTAGAGTAGAACAAAAATTTTTTAATGCATCTCGTAGGTCATAAACCAGCATTTCTAATTCTTTTAACCAACTGCTGTTACCTGTTTTCTTGTACTATATCATACAAATTCATGGAAAATACCAGTTCTTGAGTGTCTGTGAATTATTTTGGTGGCTTTTTCAAACAATTGTTTAATTCCGCTGTAGTTTATTTCTGCTAACCAACAAACTTCCTGATCATTTTCTCAACTGGCAAAGCATGACAGTGGAATGAAAAATAATTCTATGATTTGTATACTCATTAGTGATAATATAGAATATTTATTGGGTTTGTGTTACATACTAGGCACTGTGCCATATAAGTGCTTTTGTGAATTAACTCAATTAACACATCAGTATGAATAGTGTATTAACCATTCACATTTTATGGTCACGTAGTAACTTGACAGCAGTCACAGAGCTACTAAGTGGCAAAGTGCTAGATTTGCACCCAAACTTGTCTGACTGCCCTGTACTACTTCCATGCTACCTTGTCTCTCATAAATGAAGCCTAGCTTGAAAAGCAAATATATGCCTTTCATACCTTTAGCATTTCATACCTATCTTTTCATTTTAATGTTAAATCTAAATAGCCATTGTATCTCCTGAATATCCCATAAAGTTAGGGTTATTCAGAGCTTTGTCCTTGGCCCACAGCTTTCTTCTGCTTCCACACTCTCCCTGGGTTATGGCAGCCTCTTTTGGTTTTAATTACCAGCTCTGTGTGAAGATTCTCAAGCCCAGATCTGACTTCTCTCTTGAGCTTAAAAGTTACATATTCGAATATTTAACAATAAAGCTCAACATGTCAAAACTGAGCACATCATCTTCTCTCCCAAAGTTGCTCCATCTTCTCTATCCTTACCTTAGTGACCATGACCACCCAGTCAGTCACCCAGGTCAGAGACTGGAGTATTCTTAGACTCTTCTCCATCTCTTTCAACTCTATAAATCAACCAGTCCACAAATCCTGCCAGTATTTGATCTTAATCTGTTCTAGAGTCTGTCCTCTCTGTTCCAGCTCAGCTGCTATTTTCCTTAGTTCAAGATCTTGTCATTTCACCCTTTATAACCCTCATACCCTAAGAAACCACCTTGGTATATTTTCTTCCAGTCTTTTAAAAAATTTAACCGTGTATCCTTGGGCAAATTATTTAGTTCCCTATGTCTCAGTCTTCTCGTCTATAAAATGGGGGTAATAATAATACCTATTTCATAGCTTTGAGGCTTAAGTGAGTTAATACAAGAAAAGCATTTAGAATAGGGTCTGACACAGTGTCAGATACTAAGTGTCAGATATAAGAGTTAAATACTATTTTTATATATAGCAATCCCAGCTAAGTGCCAAATTGAAAGATCAAATTCTCATAAAAAATAAGGGATTGGCAAAGAACCATAAAAGTAGTATGAACTATATGTGTAATCAAAATAATAAATAAAAGTTCTGGAAAGCATTCGTTTTCAAAACAAAGCTGACCCTTCCACTAAAAACCCATTCCCTCGAATCTCATTCTTAAGTTATCCAGAAAACATTGCTGCTGTGTCATAGATTTGAATGTGAGATCTTTCTGTTGATGCCTTTACTTGCTAGTTTATAGGTCATAATTTTTTTTTAGGCTGAAGAATTTCTGACTGATTTCCAACACTCTTCCACGTTATTTCTCTTCAAGTTCTTTTATGGTTTCCATATCATTTTGCTCTCTGAATTTGTTCTTTCCTTTCTATGAAATGAATACCCGTGATATAATGGAAATGTTTCTTTTTCTCTACTTGGTTGTAGATTCCCAAGGACTATGATCTTTCTTTATCTTAGAATCATTTTTAGGGTTCTTTACACATAATAGATATTCAATAAATGTTCGTTGAATGAAATTAAAGTGTATCTTTCATCTAACTTCCTAATAAGGTATTTGAGGTTAATTTAAAAGCAAGTGTTCCTATTATTGTCCCTACAAAAATAAAGAGAAATGAAATTTACTAGTAGGAGAATTCAGAGATTGAGGTAATTGTGGATTGAAGCCAATAAAAAATATATTGGTGAATTTGCTTATTAGTTTTACATGGAAAATTAAGTATTGGAGAGATCACCTCCAATATATAGTTAAAAGTCTTCAAGACTAAGTATTTAAACTAATTTATCAGAGACATAGAATCATTTTCAGACTCATAGCTGGAAGAGACCTTAGAGATTATACAGTATAAACTTATTTTACAGGAGATGAAACCGATGTCAGGTTGTACAAATGACTTTCTCACATTCATACAACTAGTTAGTGGAAGAATGAAGATGAGGCACAGTTCTGCTCACAAGAAGCTCAGCACTTTTCCTATTGCACTGTAGTTCTTTTAGCATAATGTAGTAATTTATTTATGTGCCATCTCCCCCCAGAGGGTCATATCACAATTTAATGGAAGACAGAGGTCATGTCTTTTTGTTTATCTTGCTCTTTATGGAAGACAAAAAGGTATAATACCTGGAAAATATAGCTGCCAAGTAGTAGGTGCTCGATTTACTCTTTTTGAATTAATTAAGCTTTTATCTGATTAAATGTGATTCTTCTTGGCCTCATGTTCATAAGAAGCCACTCTTTATTTATTCATTAAATATTTATTGATTACCTACTATGTCCCAAATACCATGTTAGGAGACTTTCAGCTTAGTGTCTATATTAAAATATTACTGTGAAATGGTAAATATCTCGATTACAAAAGAAAGTGAATTCTCAGCTGACCTATTTCCTTTTTACAGATGATTTGCAGTTTGTAGGATTTTGACCTCAAGAGAACTTAATGTTACCTAAGATCACATCATCAGCAAATAGCAAAGTGATGACTGGAATTAATGTCATTCCTTCAAAATCCAGTATTCTTTCCATTACAAAGAATTTCTTCCTTTATATTGCATTTTTGGAATAACATATGCATTAGTTAAATTTATGAATGTTAATAAAATGGAGATCCATGTTTCTTCTGAATTAGATATCAAAATGCCTAAAGGGGAATATGGAGAGAAAATAGGAAAGGAAGACAGAACCATTGATTTTTAGACAAACAAAAACAAAAACAAAACAAACAAACAAACAAAAACAGAAAATACCCTAATCATCTCCTTCAAATTATAGAATATTGGAACCAGAAAGATCCTTGGAGACTGCCCAAGCAAGCCCTGTGAGTTTCCAGATGAAGATGCTGAGGCTCAGAGAGGTTCAAGAGACTTTACCAAAATCATACAGAAAGTTACTACCAGACTAGAATCCAGGTATCCTGACTCCCTATCCATAAGGCCTGTGTTTCCTAAACTTCAGTTATTTGCAAACTACCTTTTCAATTTGTCTGAACCCACATGCCATCTGTATTAGTATTATATTAGTAAAGATCTTACTTAATATTTTATTTGTCAAGTCATTTTTTAAATTAACTAATTTAAAAATTTCCTAATATGTAATGTATTTTAAAACTTCAACTTATTTCAAAGAGAAAAAAATTTTGCCATTATCATAAATGGAAAACTAGTATTGTTTGCTATATTAAGAAGAGAAATGTAAAAATTAAAACTTGGGAAATATTTCTAAATTCCGCTTAACTACTCCTCTTGCTGAAGGCATGGAGTCTGAGGTTTGCTCTCTTTTTAAAGAGAGATATAAGCAAGTGTCAGAGACCCAATATGAGAATTATTTCTTGATATAATCAAAGACAATAGAAAAGGGAATAACTTTTTATGTCTTTTATGTCATTTTACACTGCAACTGATTTCCACCTAAACTC